AGAAGTCTGGTCTGAATGCTAAGAAGTTGTTATTCATGATTATTTACAGCTCTTTTTGACTCATCTCAGGACAGTTGTCAAACTCTGTTTTTTCAAATGATCTGAGTGTGGCGGTCAGCTGCCTAAACACAGGTAACTAGTACAACTTCAGAGGTTTCAGATCTATTAGTCCTTCACCTGTTACCTTGCTAAGGGATGGTTATGCTGTAGGTCTTGTGTCATACCTACTGCCCTCATTTCAGATACCCTAGAGCATTTCGTGTAGTCTACATTAACACAATTGAATTCTACACTCAACATCCCCCAGTTGAAAACAGGCCAGAGCATATCATATAAGTCCTTCCAAAATGTCTTTTTTTTTCCTCTAAGTTGCACTGGGGAACAATGATTTATGGCCAAGGCACAGACCAGAGAAAATGAGTAAGTTGTCTGAAATCAGAAGAAAAAAACCAAACCTATTTGCCACCTAGAGAAACAGTGGGAATTGGACAAGTTCTAATGTTGGCTAAAACCATTGTATTCCATAAAAGAATCACTAAGAAACTATCACATGGATGGTGGAATATATTCACCCTCAGGAAAAATTCATAAGGATAACAATCCATGCCCTGATGAAACTTGCAAAAAATTAAAGAAGCAACACTTGGTGTAAAGAGGGAAAAAAAAGGAAATGTGTGAGAAAACTGAGATATGCCTAATTATGTAGTGCTGTTGTAGCTATTATACTAGTTTCTTGAGTAGGCTGAATGCATTTCTAGAGTGTACTAAGATCAGAACCAAGGAAGATATGCTAACTGACTTCCTTCTAATTGTGTACTTCTCAGAAAATCAGAACAGGGATATTTATTATCTTTAAATGTTGTCAGTCAGATTTATATGATATTTTAATATAATTTAATAAATAAGGTATTATCTGCAGCTGGGAAATCAGTGTAGGTTTTGATTTTTTAGCATTTTTAAAATAGCTTCTGACTGAAAAAAAATAAGAAAGATGATTTGGTTAAAATAAAATGGAAATTATGATAATAAAAATGAAAAAGTCAACAGGAATACAACTCTATCCTGGAAAAATTAAAATATTGTGTCTCAGCTATAAGTTTTTTCTGTTTTGGTGTGATAATGAGACCCTGACACAGCAGCCTGCATGTTCAGGTAGGACAGTCTTAGCAACTTTCTTAGAGAGAGAAACTCACAGGTGTGTTAACACATTCCTCTATGTATGTGCATGAGACCACCTCTTTTGCAGAAAATATATTTAGATCAACTATAAAGGTGGGTTTGGTTGCTTTTCACTTCTGATTATATCTGTGTTATTGATTGTTATGAACTAAAACTTCTGGAACTTTATTGCAATAAAGTGAGGCCAAGGTATCCTCAAATCATCTGCTGATTTTTAACTCTAAAGTACTCTGGTATGAGCTGAGATAGTATCGAAGCAAGGTCTTAATATCTTTTTAGCACATCTGGAATAGGATCATCAGGAATAGCCATCTGTGCTGGCTCTCTAAACTGGGCTGGGGAGATATGATCCTTGTCATGTTGTGAGTGCCATAGCACAGAAATCTTACACTAGAAGCTTTATAGTAGGCATTGCTATTCACTTGTTCACCTGTTAAACCCATGCTGCTTAGTAAATAAATTTCAGGTTATGTCACTGAGTAATGTGGTTCTTTTCCTCTGTAAACCCACTCTAAATCCTCCCTGCATCATGTCTACACAGCTATCACAGCTGTCTCATCTTCATTTTTGTCTAATTTACATGTCACAGTACCTGAGCTAACTCAGCTGTGTCTATATTAGGACTTCACAACTGTATCACACTAGTCAAAAAAACTGAAATACTTACAAATAACTATAATTTTGACTGCAACTCAGATTTTCTTAGTGACAGGTTTCAGTAGAGTACTTTGCAGAATAGTGGCTGTTGTATCACTGTGAGCAGGTGAATGGAAGTAGTATGAACCATTTCATGACTTCCTCAGGAGCAGAGGATGCAAATAATCTTTTAGAAGGCATTGAAAAAAAAACAACCCTGTAAATGCTAGAAACAGACTAAGAGCTAAAATATGTTTACAGACATGTAGCTTATTTAAAAAAAGGCAAAAAGATAACATGGGGAAAATTTTTATTGTTTATATAAACCAAAGTTTGAGGATTTGTTACGAGTGAAAAAAAACTTTTTGAGATCACAGTAAGTTTTTCAGGCCTAAGCACAATTTCCTGCAGAGATTTTAGGATGACTGTATCAGATTTTTTCAGAAATTCTCGATCCAGAACTCTGCTGTTTTTCCACCAGCGCCTTCTGAATTTGGAAAACCTAATCTGCTGTTTCAGTTTTGTCACTATCTTCTACCATAGTAACTTATTTGGGATTTCAATGAGGAAAATATTTATTGTCTTGATTTTACACATATGCTTCCACATGCTATGTATATACTTCTGTTTTTACTTAAGATTTTCTGCTCCAAAATAAACTAAGCAAGTATGCAAAGCAGAATGCTTTTGGGTTTTGTTTGCATTTTCTGTCTCATTGTATCCAAGGATGCAGCAAGATTTATTACACGGAACTACAAAAATTTTGCCATGTATGGAAAAGATGTTAATATTTTTAGAAATTTGCTTAATGTATTAAAATAAAAAGTCTATTTATTTTACTCTCATACCCATTAGTAAAGACCAAGTTATTTGCCTATTGAATTAGTATGATAACAATAGTCATGCAAGCAGTGTCTGATGTGTTCAGAGTGACCTTGCATTTAGTTCTAGTGGCAATGTTTAGATTGATGAACAATGCAGATGAATCATTCTGGGTCCTTGGCACTGCAGTATGTTATAATTGTAGTGTAATGAGATAAGGAAGAGACTCAGACTTTAAATTTTAAAAGAAATAAAAGGGGTAGGCTTGGGGATATGAACCATTGAAAACAGAGAATACCAATTAGCTTTTCCATTTCCCTCTGCTCTTTTGCCCTCTCTTCTCCAATTCCTTTCCATTATAGCCTATTTAAGAATTACAGTTCATGTATTTTTGCAATAATTGGAGTATTTGAATCAGAAACAAAATGTATCACATGTAGGACATTCATTTTTGAGCATGCTATACACAAAGGTGGAATTGAAGAGACATTCATTTCAGATTTCAGTGTTTTGAAAATTTTCATTTTAGATTTCAAAAGGTGCAATTACATGATGATATTTGATGTATTGCAAAAGTGATATTTCATACATAGGACATCTGATGCTTACTGAAAATGCTAGGAAAAAAAGCATTCTAACCATCATAATTTAAATATCATCTTATTCATACTCTCTTCAGGATAGTTTAAAACAGGCCTAGAAGGGTCTATTAAATTGCATTTAAGCCCAGTACACTTTGCAGGTGTCCAGTATAATGAACACTTTAAATGGCTATGCTCTAAGGTTAATTTGTTCTCTAAAATTGCCCAGACCCCTCTAGAGTATTCATTAGTAGAATAAAACAGAGACCTAATCCAGATAGATGCTAAAGGATTATCATTATTGCTGTAAGGACGACTTTGATAAAATTCTAATTGGAATTGCCGCATGGGGACTGAACAAACGAAACAGATTATGATAAATACGGGGTTTCAGACCTCTCTAACCAAATTCTAAGACTGGGGTAAAATAAAGTGATCAAACTCATCTGGAAACAGATAGCTACCTCAATTTACTCCAGAACTTCTTAGAGTGGCATGAAAATTATACTCAACTGCATATAATTACACCAAATGTCAGCACAATACAATTAGAGCTAAAAGAACATTGCAGCATTCATTTGGCTTTTAACAGCATTCCATTGCAAACAGTCTTTTGTCTCATTAGTGCAGGACTGACAGATTTAAACTTGTAGTTACACATCTTTAATAATATCAAACAAGATCATTATATTTTCTTCTCTCTCTGCATCATATAAGAAGGAGAAATTTTCTACAGGGCCTCTTAAACAAAAAAGAGAATTAACATTATCTAAATAAAACAAACTATCTCATTTTGCATTCAGAAATATAACTGGTAAAATTTCTGTGTCATAAATCCACAGTTTATATGCCATTAAAACAAATTGTGAATTAGCCATTGTATATGTCCATCAAATATAAGTTGCCATTTCATAGTTTTTATAGGTTTTATGGTTAGCAAAACAAAAGAAAAAAATTTTCCACTCAATGTGAGTTACAGTGTCAGAACACAGCCTTCAGTGATAGGGATCCACAACTTATCTGGGCAACCAGTTCCAGTGCCTCACCACCACCACAGAAAACATCTAACTCTAAACCTAGTCTCATTCAGTTTAAAGCCATTACTCTATACCCCACTACTACTTGCCTTAGTCAAAAACACTCCCCAGCTTTCTTGTAGGTCCCCCTTAGGTACTGAAAGGCTGCTGTAAGATCTCACCAGAGCCTTCTTCAGGCTGAACAACCCCAACTTTCTAAGCCTATCTTTAGAGGAGAAGTGCTGTATCCCTCTGATCAACTTTGGGTGCAGTTACTCCAGTGAGGGCAGAGCAGAGAGGCAGAATTCCCTCCCTTGCCCTGCTGCCCACTCTGCTTCTGACACTGCCCAGGATGTCTTTGGCTTTTTGAGCTGTGAGTGCACATGGCTAGGTCATGGCCAGCCTCTCACCCACCTGTGACCCCAGGTCCTCTGGACAGGGCTGCTCTTTATCTGTTCACCCCTCAGCCTGCATTGATACCAGAGGTTGTCCTGACTCAGGTGCAGCATCTCGTACTTGGTTCATACATCTCCTATGAGGTTCACATGGGCCCGATTGTTGAGCTTGTCCGCATTCCTCTGGATGGCATCCCATCCTCCAGGTGTGTCAAATGTACCCTCAGCTTGGAGCTGTCTGCAGACTTGATGAGGGTGCACGCAATCCCTTCGTCTGTTTTAAGTAATTAAGTAAGTAATTAATTAATTAAGTAGGCATTTACTTAATTAATTAATTAAGTAAGCATTTATAACTGCAGCCGCTTGCCAAATTTACTGAGAAAAGGGAGCTGAAGTTTTAATTCACTCTTAAAGAAATTTAAGACAGCCCTGGTAGAGTATTTTTGAGGTTTTTTGGAGGGTCTTTTTTTATTAACAGAAGAAATATTTCCTACTCAACTAGGGTTTTCCAGTCTGGGATTTAAGTTTGAATCCATTTATACCTACACAAACTTATCCAAAATAAAAATGGTAGAATAATATCAGAGTTACCCTATTTATTTTGTAGAATTTAAAAACAAAAAAGGAGCTTAAAATTTGGGGGAAAGAAAGAATAGAAAGTCAGTTTTAAAATTATTTTTCAAAACATATTGAGGCAGAATAATGAACATATCTTTAAGTATATATTTTCATCAGTCTTAAAGCAAATACCATATCTTTATTCTTTCATTATACTATTTACTTAGAATTGCTACAGGTTATAACTGAGCATAGCCTGAATTAAAAAAAAAAAGCCATATAATTTAGAAAAAAAACCCATGTGATTTTGCTGATCTGATTTATCTCTATAAATAACTCTTCAGATTCAATTATTTAGAAAAATTCTTATGACACATTCTGTTGGTGATAGTCACCTGTACCTTGACACTGTAAGGGAAAGATCATAAAAGATGATATGATCTCTTCAAGAGTTTCTCCTCATAGGCATTTCCTAACTGTGTACTAAGGTTTTATTGCCTATTTATTTTATGGTCTATTTTACGATAGGTCAGCAGCAGCAGGCAGCACTGAGACCACAGCCTTTTCTACCACAAGTTCCCCAAATGTATATTTATAAAAGACATTTTTAATCAAAGATGAACTATTTAGGACTCAGGTATATATTTCTTCCTCCTTTATACTCTAACACATTCTTAAGTACAGAGCAATGCATCATGTGCAATGTTTTTCTCATAAGGTATATTGACTAGGAGAGCTACTGCAATTCTTTTAAATGTCTCTATTATATCTTTGTGTTCAAATGTGCATAAAGAAAATGTTATGGTACCTTAAAAACAAGTTTGAGATGTTCTGTGTCATCTATTCTTATAGCAAATGCACATATCTGAGCAACCTGGTCTACTGAAAAGCGTCAGGGAGGTAAGAACTATATGATCCTTAAGGTCTCTTCCAACCCAAAGCATTGTATGATTCTATGATATTCTCTAAAATAAATATTTTGTGGGGAATAGTTATATTTTAATTTTATATAGCAGAGATTTGTCCATTTTTTCCAACTATGTCAATAGCTTAAATAAAAAAAAATCCTTCCAGTTTATTCCTGTTCCCATTATCTCTTTAACTGCTCTGATATACACCACTATCCCTGCTAATGTCTCTGAATTTTTTCTTGTGTAGTGCGTCACAGACCTATAGTTACCCACATATGAAGAACATGGAGGCCTCACAAACATCCTGTTTTCTGCTGTCAGTTATGGAACAGAAATACTTGATTTTCCTCTCCCTCTCAATGTTGTTCCACTGTGGCTTCTCGCACCTGATGGGTTTTGTCTTGGCAGTTGTCTCACCAAGAAAGACATAAAGCTGGTACAAAACAACTCCAGGTGTATCATATACCCTCTTTGTCATTTTTTGTGATGCTGATATAGGTTTATGTGCATTCTGTTTGAGATTGGCCATCTCTATCTCTTTGCTGTGTATCAAACCCCAGAAATCTTAAGAACAGAAACCTTTCTTCAAAGGAAGGTACATCAGACTGCTGAATATCTCTGTCCCAAATCCAGTCCTGTAGTTTTGTTTAATGACAATAAAATATGTTCCTAATGTTTAACATTCCTAAATGTATTGCACATTTTAATCCTTTGCTTATAGAGCTGTTACCCTCCACGGAAGAACCATGTCAATTTCTTGATACAATATCTCTAGCCTCTCTACAGTGATATCTCTTTTTATTTGCTTGCAATTTTATCCATGCTACTTTCCTGCAGCAGGAACTTTTACTGGAAAACTGCTAGCTCCTGTCTTTCCACACAATCAGATTAGAACTGGTGTCTACCCATCTGCTACCTCTATCCATGAATCACCATAGAAATTAATAAAATACATCCTTTCAGTTCCTGTGGGTCATGGTTTAACTCCAGCCCCAAGCATCTGCTTGCTTACTCCCTCACCGGTGAGATTAGGGGGAAAATTAAAAGGGTAAGAGATAAAGAACTTGTGGGTTCAGATAAAGATAGTTTAATAGGGAAAGCAGAAGCCACACACACACAAGCAAAGCAAAACAAGGAATTAATTCACTTCTTGCCAAGGGCAGTCAGTTGCTCAATTATTCCTGGAAGAGCAGGACTTTGTCACACGTAATGGTGACTTGGGAAGACAAAGAACAACTTTCCTCTTTCTTCCCCCCATTTTATATACTGAGTATGATGTCACATGGTGTGGAATATCCCTTGGTTCAGTTTGGGTCACCTGTCCTGGCTGTTGTCTCCTCCCAGGCTTTGGGTCTGTGTCAGTCCTGCTCAGCACTAACAAAAACATCTCCATATTATCAGCTCTGTGTTCAGCTCAAGTCCAAAACACAGCCACGCACCAGACACTGAGAACAAAATTAACTCTACATCAGCTGAAACCAGCACACCATATATTTTAAAACCTTTTTTCTGTAACATCCATCTGTCACACTTCTTATTGTTTTCTGTTGTCTCTTATATGCTGAGCTATAATTGATCTAGATGCTTAAATCAATGTACTGAACAGTGTTTTTATTTAATTTGAGTTCAGCATGAAAGATATATATCTTTCTAAGTTCTTTTTCTGAGCAATTTCTAATAATAACTAAAATTTTCTCCCAAGAGAAGCTGTACAATTACCTCTTCTTTAAGTTCATATTTGAATTACTAGACATTTAAATTTAATGGTTTTAAGATTAGTTATTTTGTACTTACAAACACTAAGATCAAAGAAAACATTGGGAGAGGAATGGCAAGCTGTTGGAAATATAGGAAAATATGTCTCTTAATAAATGATAAGTATATTTTTGTTATTCCACTTCTTTATCAAATATTTGTTGGTTCACTTCTGTATTTGCTGGTCTTGTGTGTCTATGAAGGATTGTTTTGTACAGTAGAATTTTAATAAAGTTCAGAATGAGAGGATAGTATAATCAAAACATCTCAAGATGCTTGTCATCTTCCTATTGCCTGACAGAAAAGTTATAATTTTAGCTTTATTTATTTGCAGGGTAAATGATTTTATTTATTGTCATTAAATCTAAAAACATGCTGACAGATTAAGAAAACACTCTTACATATCCTTACAAATTCATTGCAGTGGAAAAGATCTCTAATAAGCAGAACATTCTACATCCATTCTTCATAACAGTGCTTAGATAAGACAGATGTTGGTGGTGCCTAAGAGTATCATCACATAAATTTTGGATAGAAAGCATATGGACACCAGGGCATCCATTAGGTAACTGCAATTATGCTTGCTGCACTATCTGCCTTAAAAGTGGACTTTTTGCTTGGCACATTAGTACATTATATTGTTACAAAACCATTTGTGCCAGCTATCTACTACGGAATGAAGTTCAGATAATTGGTTTTGACATAGACTGCACTAAGTGATCTGAATTTCAACTGAAACATTTTCCTTTCGACTACCATTTGCTGACAGTTAATAATTAATTTTATTCTTTCCCCCACCCTCTTTCTTACAGATCTTAGAAACTTTGTTTCAGATAGGTATATTCAGCCACTTTTTAAACATTATTTTATAGGGTAAATGGGAAATCAGAGCTTGAGTTCTCACAGTTTATCTCTTTGCAATGATCTACATCTCAGTTTATTATTCTGGATCTAATTCTCAGTTTAGTAACATTTGGTATGTGTTGCAAATACATAGTGCAATTTGCAGCCTGTTACACCATTGGGTAATTTGCCATAAAGAAACAAGAATGTACAATTAATGATTTAGTATGTATTTCAACATGAAAAAAATGCAGGAAATATTAATGACATTTCTCATTGAAAGAGAAGAAAATTGCTGTTCCCTGATATTTCTTCAGTCTCTTGCTTTCTGCTGCATATGCTATCTTTTAAGCATATGCAAAACCAAGTTAAGGGAAAGGGAGAAAGCTTGAAGAGATTTTCCAGCTTTCTCTGAAAGAAGAAAATTATCTATTTACAGAAAATTATCTATTTGTCCTTGATGAGGACAACATAATCTGGAACTAGTGAAAATAATGTACTTAATAAAAGTCTTCCAAAGTTTACCCTCTCAGTCAAAGTTCTGATAAATTTCAACACTTTCTCTGTCAGTAAGAGTTGGTTTCCTCTTCCCATTCAAACAGTATTTCCAGTCATATTCTCACCAAGACCAGTGACACTCAAGTCTCAGCTCAGCAAGTTTAGGAAAAACTCTATTTTTGAAAGCAGAATAGGATTTTTTAGTTCTTATTTACAATACAATAAGGGGTACTTTCAAAAGTATGATCTTTATGTCAATCTGATGTTCTTAACACAGTTCCAGTATTAAATTGGAAGCTCCATTTATTTTTTGAAATACCTATTTTTTAATGCTTTAGGTTTATTTACAAAACAAGTTAGTCTTATTTTATTGTAGCATGACTAAACAACATTCCAAATCTTATGCCTTTCCTGCACCTCCTCGTGTCACTCACTGAAATAAAGTGTTATTCTTTAAAACAACTTTCCAAGAACCTAATTTTTCTCATGCAAGAAACAGCAGAAGGAGAAAATGCTAGGCAATTAGGGGAAGACAAAAGCAAGTAGAGGTTATCTTTTTTACAGTCCAAAAGCAAAATGTGTTGAATGGGAAAAGGTGATAAATTCTTTTCCAAATCAATAGGAAAATCAAAAGAAATTATGGGTTTACTGATTTGAGTATTTGGGTGCTTATTTAGGTTCCTGCTGTGCTGAAAGGTCAGCTGGCAACTAAGCAGCATGCAGTTTCTTGCTCACTTACTTAGTGGGAAGTGAATAAAAAGTGGGATTGGGAGGAAAGTAAAATATATAACTTGTGGGTTGAGATAAGCAGAGTTTAATAATTGGAACAAATTGAAATATAAGAAGAAGGAGAGAAAGACAAAACACAAGAGAAACAAGTGATGCTCTATACAGTTTCTCACCACTTGTTGACCAATTCCAAACCCTTCCCCGAATCAACAATGTTCTGCTTTAACAGCAACTCCCCCAGTTTATATATTGAATGTTGGGTGTAAACTCTTTTACACAAGTGAAGTTTCTCAGTGGATGGCTCTCTCAGGTCCACTCAGTGGCAATATTTCTGACTCTTTCTGTCCTTATACAATTTTAGTTCCATTAACCAAACTTGCTTTGAACATAATGTTTCCTGTATATTAGGTGCAAATCACAGCTCAAAGTATATGCATTTTAAAGGTTGGAATTTCTTGGAGATGAAATAGTTTAACAATGAGAATTAAAATAGCAGAATAAATAATAAATTAAGTTAATGTAAAAAAGATACTTTTTTTTTACATCATCTGGTTCTCAAAATCTCGGGTAATAAATGTTTTGAATGGGAAACTTCATTATGAATTTTTACTACTCATTTAGACTAATTTATGGGATATAATAACTTATAATTCACCTCTTGTTCTTACATGACTTCTACTGCAAACTTCATTTACTTTTCTTCTTTTGTGTTATTCTTCTCAATACTATACATGATATTAAAGAATGAAAGTTATTAAAAAAATATAAAGTATATAAAAATAGACATTAACACAGCGTGATTGCTAAGATAGATAGACTTTAATATTAAATTATATGCAGCATTTTTTGTAAAACTAGCCTTATGTACTCCATTATTTATATTATTATATGAATAGTAATTGTATCCATATTCCAGTGAAATAAATTAAACCTGCCAGTTCGAGGTATGAAGGTGTGACTATATAAATCAGTATTTAGTTTGATTCATAAAATTGCTGCCCCAATTTTGGACTATAACTTTTCTAGTCTTAGGTGATGGGGTGTATCTTGACCTGTTTTTTCTTGTACTGCATTCAGCTACAAGTGAAATACATTACAATAAGTTATTTTTTATGTGTGTTTGAAGTCTTACTTAAAAAAAAAGTTATGAAGACATATCTAGTTCATAGTGTAGGTAACAGGTGATTAGTAAAAGCTTCAATTTATTGTTCATCTCCATTCTTATTATGGAATTTGAACATCAGAATAACAAATAGTAGTTTGAATGATAATGCAATACTGATGCTAATTCTGTAGAATCAGTAACCCTTTCATATTTACTCAAATATTTTGTAGCTTTCCATGTGTAAGCAAACAAGAAAAACTAATTCCATTTTATAACTAAAAAAAAAATAAATATGTGAACCAGGAACACACTAAAATATCCCCCAACTAGTAATTATGGCTAAAAATGATAGCAGGTTCATTCTTCAGAGTCTGAAATTTTTAAGAGAAATATGATCTGAAGAGGTTTTATTATTCAGGGAATCTAAATAAAAATAATTAAACTCCTCCAATATTTCTTAGCAAGAGCTTTAATGAGACTCAATCTCTACTTTCATATCGGCATCAATTGCACATACTGATTAGTGGAAAAATATTAGAAAAGTAATGAGATCTGCTAGTGAAAAAGACTGTTCTAATTCATGCACTAGTACAGTTAGAGGCCAAACAAAATATGCACTTTTTAATCAGTCAGTTATTTCAGTAAATATTCTTTTATACATTGTTTGCAAAAATAGTATTGAAGCAAATTAATGTATTAAATTAAAGAGTTCTGTGAAAAACTGCACAGATGCAAATATAGAAACTGGTTAGAAA